CCTGTACCTCTGTACTAGAATTTCATGCCAGTAGAAATACCATGAAATACAGAGCCCACCCACTTTTTCAATAGTATCTCAATAGCAACAGTAAACTAGAAGAGAGCTTAGAGCAACTAACAGTGTTGTGGCACCATTATTGGCTCCACATCCTTGTGACTGTTCATGCAGTCGAACATGTCTTGGGGAGTGTACGTGTTGGTCTTCATCCACTGATGCTTCAGCAGGTTGAAGAGACGGTCGCAATCGTTCTTTGTGTGCCCTCTAACAAGGAAGGAAGCTCTAGCAATCTTGCAGTACTGTAGCTTGACAAGATAGTGTAGCATACGGAGGACCATTCGGTTCTTGTTCTGTCCGCCACAGTTGTCCATAAAGATGTTAATCTCTTTGTAGGGCTGTTGTGTTTTCGTAAAGCCCAGTCGTTCAATCTCATGCATAAGAAGACTGCATACGTTGTTGCCACCTTTCTTCGCTTGGTCTTCTGTGTAAGTTAAAGCTGACAATGTGTAAGGACGACGGCTGCAGTCAATGACACCAAAGACGTACACATTCAGCGGTGAATAGTAGTACGTATCACCAGGCTGTTCTGCAGTGAAGTGAGGTAGATACATGTTCTGTGCATAGTCTGCAACCAAAGTAATGACTCGGTGACTTGGAGGATTATCAGCCGTATCAAAAGCTTCTTGTTTTTTGTCACGGAAGAGTTGCCTCTGTTTTGCTGCCATCTCCACATGTTTCACTGCATTGGTAATCAGTTCTTCATTGTTCTCCATCGCCTTGATGTCTTTGGCTGTAGCTTCTTCTTCGTTCTCCGAGTCATCAGAAGAATCAGAGTCACTGCTGTCAGCTTCTTCTCTTGCCAAACGTCTTGCCTTCCTCTTCATGAGTTTGGTCTGGTACTTGTGCTGGTTTGCATAGATGAAACATTCCCCACAGATGTCTTCACTTGGATTGCCAATAAGTAGCTTGGGGTAGTTCTTCTTCCAATACAAGCGAAACGTCGTGTAGCAAGGGACCGGCTCTGCGTCTTCTCTCAGCTTCTGCTTTTCTGTAAGCAGTCCCTTTGCCGAATAGATATATCTCCATCCCCGTTCGCGAAGAAGCCGCCCGTAGATAGCCCTCTTGGTGAATGCCGTTGGTAATTCGATGATGTCATCGTCCTTGGTTGCCGTGGTGACTGTATTGTTGGATTTGCAGAACTCCGACACAAGTCTTGTTGCTCTTGGAACTGCGTGTGTCTTGAGTTCTTCAAAGAACTCCTTCAGAACACCATCCATCTCCGAGTTCCTTCTGTTGCCGGGCTTGTTCGAAAGTCCATGCACTAGTGCTCCACCCTTCTTCGCTAGCTTGTTCATCGAGCGAAAAGAATCTTCTCCAATTCCAAGTAAGCGGCACAATCCATCTCTGCAGATCATGAACCTTGTTCCAGGGAGCAGAAACACTAGTCGCCGGGATGGCCCTCTGCCTGCCATTGAGTTGCGCAGCTCACTGATATGCTCAGAATATTTGATCCATTCAATCAACAAGGCGCGTTGTTCCTTCCATTCCATGACTGAATAATCAAAAATATATTCTGACATCTTGTTCAAGAACTCCCCTTCCATCTTGTAGCGACTAGCCATCATGCACCTGCAGTTGGTTGCATGGGTCTTGTTGTTGATGTTGATGCAGTCTCCAGCTTGTGTAATCTCCAAGTAGTGATGTTGGATTGCATTAAGATGCATCCAGTTCTCTTCGCCTTTGAGTTTCTTGATTCTATTCCTTTCCCTGTGAATCGCGATGCATGGACTCTTCCCATCATAAGCATCTCTTGCAGCCTGCTCTGGGGTAATCACAGCATTGGCTTTACTTGCGGGAGGTGTCGACATAGTGCACTGGATAGGTTTGGTGACGTCTAGTTTCGAACAATCGTTGCTTGTGTCATCGTGGTGGCTGGAAGCAGTCAATAGTTTGCGATCGTATCCTATCTTCGCTTGGAAGCAAGTTTCGCTGAAATTCGGATAATGTGAGGCTAGTTTAGCGATCAGTTAAGTAATTATTTAAATCCCACGCCAGACAGCCAAGATCCCGCCTAAACAAAGAGGTCAAAGGAACGATTGCACCAACGGTTGTCGCAGCTTGTTTAGAGTTGCGACATTATCTTCTGACCGTCGGGCGTTATATTCAACTACACCGCTGGATAGAGCATAAAATTTCCTACGTTCTGAGTCGCGTCATTTTAAAAGGTCGCACATTTGCCCCACCGACGACGGACAGAAGTGGTGGGGATTTCTACTCGCTGGGTCTTATTTCATAGTTTAGTCGATAGTTTGGTCTCTGGGGGTGGTGTCTACCATAGGGACTAAAGGTGATACAGACTAAAGGCTTTAGTCAATATGTTCGTTCACCGACTAACCGGAGGCTGGTTAGTCGGTGAGTAAGCGTACCAACTAAAGCCTCTTTAAGAACTCTTTAAAAAAAGAACAGCACTTTTAAAAAAGAACAGCACTTTTAAAAAAGAACAGCACTTTTAAAAAAGAACAGCAGCCTCATTGCACAGCCTCACTATCAGAGCATCGCGGCAGAGCTGATAGAGTAGAGGTGCGATCGAACGATCGAACGATCGAAGAGGAGTATCGGCCGATAGTAGAGGTGCGATCAAACGATCGAACGATCGAACGATCGAACGATCGAACGATCGAACGATCGAACGATCGAAGAGGAGTATCGGCCGATAGTAGAGGTGCAAACGATCGAACGATCGCACCTCTATCGCACTTTATCAAGCCGACAGTCTTCGGTTGAGAATAGAAAGCCATCCCTCATTGCAGAGTATGGAGTGCGGGATGGCTTTCTATTCTCAACCGAAGACTGTCGGCTTGGTCAATTGACTGATGAGCTGAGGTGCGATCGACTGATGAGATTTAAGTCTTGTTAACTCCAAAAAGTAATCACTTCTGTTAAGTCTTTTGTTTTTGAGTCCTTTAAATCTACCATCCTCATAGAATATTGGTAGCCCACGAAGCGATCACTTTTGTTAAATCGTTTTTGAGTCCTTTAAGTCCAGCACTCTGCAATGGATTTAGTCCCGGTGTTTGTTTAGTCGCCACGGTAGACACCACGTTTTGACTAAAAACTCGACTAAATTGTTTAGTCCGAGATTGAGTCATCTGCTGGTAGACACCACCATTACTAAAGGATAATGACTAAATCTTGAACTAAACAACCACCTAAAGGATTCCTTTAGTCCCTACTTTAGTCCCTCCGGTAGAGACAGGCCTAACGCAATATCCAGATCGATGCAGTTAGGCCGATGCTAGTCGTACCCGGTATACGGTATCCGGTATTCTCATTTCACAGCCGGCCAGCCAAGAAGCCTTCAGTTGAGCGATACATTCCGTATTCCGGCATGCGTGCCCGAAATTTTGAGAACATTTCGGGTGTACGGTATTTCACACTATAGCAACTTCAGTACTCTTCTGGGATCTCACAGGAACCGGAGTTTATATTATATTCATGTCAAGTAAAAGTATGTTGTCACATAAGCCCTTCCGGCAGGCTCGATTAGATCTCCACCAAATCTACCGGATACCGTATTCCGTGACGACTAGGATCGGCTTTAGCGAACGGAAAGCCAACCTTCTTGATGATGTGCGAGCCAAAAGTTGGTTTTTATTCTTTAATTAAGCCGCTCAAGCCTTGAAGAAGCTGCTACCCATAGCTCCAGCACCGGTACTAGCTACCGTAGCTAGAAGTATAACCATGGCAATCATACCCTTCCCAGATGGGCAAGAAACTGCAGTTCCGTCAACAATTGTAACTCCTGTGGGCCCAAAATGATATATGTAGCGGTATACGTGGAAGTAGCTGTGGTACCAATGCGCATGCACCACGATTTGATTTGATTTGCACCAGGTGCAAACACCTGGCCTTTGGTACCGATATCAACGCCAACAGCAGGGTGTGCACTTCACACGTAAGAATCTCGCAGCTCTTTGTTCGTGCATCCGGCCGGTACCCGCACTTCAGGCTTCGTCAAGGCGTACCGGTAGTGGTTGGCCGCGTTGCGAGCAACAGAAACCTTCATTCCTGAGTTTCATCCCACCCTACTAGATGCTGGAGGAGCGACTTTGGGGCTTCAGTTTACAAAAAACGCAGCGTGTTTGACTGCAAACCAGGCTGCCCTTTTGCTTCGGGGTTGTCAACCCCCCAAGTATTCCGGTAGCCCGATCTAGCTAGCCTTGTTCGTCGAACGTTTCCAGACACTTGACAATCCGTTTTCTGGTCGTTGCTGGCTTGAAGAGAGGATGACGACATAGGGATGGTATCGTCACTTCAACGATATAATGGCATGTGCTGTCTTCTTGCACAGATACAGCAAAAGTGCTATCGCAAGACAATCGCACGGTACATGCACGCTCCATGGCGGGAAACTCGTTTTCGGATGGATCTTCCAGCAAGCACACTTCCCCATTTGTGTATTCAAGCTCAAAGTAAGCGCCATTTCCACCATGGCGAACGGTGCCATGGAGACCTTCCAGCAAAGTATCGGAAGTTCTATTGACAATGTGCCTCCATTCTTCAGGTTCTGACAATGGATCCCTATCTTTGTTGTAGTATCCTAAGAGGAAGTGTGTGTCATCTGCTGGGTTTGTCTTTTTGAAGTTTGGTTTGGCCTTTCCACTAGCGTTTTCAGGGCCATGAAACTGTCGGATGTAGTGTTTGTGGCAATATTCATAGGTCCACCAACCTACTCTGGCGCTGTACAGACAGTTGTCCCCCAAAGTCTCATCCAGAATATTGGAAACAGTGAGAAACTCAATGGTTGAGGGGCGATTGGCCATCGCTTTTATGACGCCGTTGTCGTCGTCGTTGTCGTCATCAGATACGACGTCGTCTTCCAGCCCCAATTCATCAATCTGCTCATAGATATCGTAAACGTCCGTCTCCTCGCACAATACAGGCGTGCAAACATCCATAATGTAGCGACAAGGCCGGTTGGGATCCTCACGTATCCTGGTTAGGGCTGCAAGCGCAATATCCGTGGGTGTCCCTTTCACAAGCGTTGTGCTCGAGTAGGATCGTGTTTCTTTCTCGGTACAGCACCGAATGTTCACGATAACTTTATACTTCCTGTTTCCTGCTTCCTTGCACCTATCCCCGCCCGTGTACCTTTCCTTGATCCAACCATTGGCTCGGCCTCAGGCTCTCGTTTGTATGCAGAAGGATGGTCTTCTGAAGGAACACGGATCTTCCTGTTGTCATGGTAGCCTAGGAGGGACACTCGTTCCACTTTTATCCTCTTGTTGTTGTCTGCGTCTTGTGGCGGGACATTCAAATGGAACCTATGAATCTTTCCCTCCCAACACCACTCATAAGTCCAATATCCGATGCGTTTCTGGACACACACATTGTCCAAAACATCCACTTTTTGTTCAATATCCAGGATTGTAAATTCATTGATGGTCCTGTCATCTAGGGTTCTTTCTTCGTCGGGTCCAAAGTCGTCTTCATCGTCAAGACCTTCCTCATTGACGGATGAATCCTCTAGATCATGCAACGCTGGATCCACTTTGCGTCTGCCATGGCCAAGAACTCGGGCAGCCCGAAAGGCAACATCCCGATTCTTTTGATTCTCGACATCGACTGATGTTCTTGCCATTGGAACCTGAAACATGCTATCTTTCATACTTTCAGGTTCCAGATCATCTTCATTGTAGGCTCGACAAGCATAGTTTCGACCAAGTCCATCTGCAATTTCCCAGTATTGAACCTCATCATCAAGAGCATCATTGTCGCGTAGAACCTGATCCGGCAGCTTGAGTGGCAGAGACGCAAGGCGACTTTGCGTGGCTCTGCTGTAGCCACCATAAGGAGAACCATAAATAGAAATGGGATCCAAAACTTCCTCATTGTATTCATCATCTCGCTGGAAAGGACGTGCTTGAGGCTGCCCGGAACAGAACAAGAAAATGTAAAAACGAAAGAACAATCTGAAGCTCTGCCTCCAATACCGGTAAGACTTCTTCATGGTTCAGATTTTCAGATCACAAGCAGACTACAAGGGCCACGGACATATGCATCTATGAGGATGAATTCAAAGCCCCACAACAACAAAGTTGATTGACAGAATTGTGATGAGTGGAGGGCTCTATCGGTGCTACGGTAGCTAGAGCTAGGTAGTATCCTTGGCAAAATAGAGCAAAGATACGGCATCGACTGAGAGCGACTGACAGTGTTGAGGTCGCTTCGGGCGGCTTCCGTTTGTTTTTCGGTTCGGGCTTCGACGTCATTTACGTGATCGACCTCGATTCAGTCACGAGAGGAGAGAAGGGCCTCAGGGCATCATCTGGCGATGATGACCGCCTTCATGACCTCCCCAAAGTAAGTGGCCGACACAGCAACAATTGTTTCTGAAGGCACTGGTGTCCTCTATCGTCCTTGCTTTGAGGGTCTACTATTCGATCACTGCTCTAGCTAGCCAGCCTGTAGAATAGAAAGGGGCTTGCACTCCCTCTTCCTTCGATTCGATTCATTCAAGACAAAACGACAACAAACAAGCAGCACCAGCATGTCCACCCGTAGCTTCACCGAGGCAGTTCCGCTGTCTTTGAGCAGCATGGCTCATATGAGCCACGAGTTGGAGGATGGAGTGGTCGATGGCCTTCGCCAGGTTCTGCAGCACACGTTGCTCTCTTGTGTCAACTACGTCCGTATGGTGCATCGCACGCATGAGTGGACCCTCCATGATTTGGGCACTTCAATGCACTCCTTCACTCCTTGCAAAGGCGAACAACCACCCAAGGATCTGCCCTGGTCCCTTAGCCGTCTAGGTTTCAAGCATCAGTACGCTCGGCATGCCTTCATCTACTTTAAGCCACTCTGGAAGAAGCAAAATGGACAAATGGAATCCACAGCAGAAGAAGAGCAAGCCTTGCTTTCGTCAGGATGGGAGGACAAGCCTTACGTTGTGGGACGTCTCAGTTTACTCTACGCAAGTCAGGAACTCTTGACCAAAGAGGAGCTGGACGGGACCGAATCAGACGATGTACCGCCTCTTGTCTTGTACAAAGTCCTGGTCGAATACAGGAGCTTGCCAGCGACTGGCAGTCAACAGGCCGTGCAGGCAGAAGAGCTTTCCATGTTGAGCTTCGGGGGAAGCGTCGACGATGATGTCAAAATTGGGGCACTGGCCAGTCTTTACGATAGTACGGCCAAATACGTCCTGGAAATTTACTCGGTCAGGGGGAAAAAGTACAAATTCGATCTCATGGACTCGACGCTCAGTGATGGAACGGTCCCCAGTCTTAATTCCAAGAGTGATGGAGATCCTTTCGTTAAGAGTCTTTGCGTAACCGTCACTGATCATGAAATCTCCACTCCCACTGAAGAAGCCAAAGAAAAGGACGCTAAGGAAGCCACTAAGGAAGCCAAGGAAACCACTAAGGAAGAAGAAAAGAACAAAACCAAATACGCAATCACACGCATTCACCTGACACTCGACGGAAACTTGCGCAAGGGCAAAAATTCCTTTGAGAACCTGCCAAAGTTTGACGCGGTCGTCCACAAGATCAACCAAACCTTTCTCTTCCTTCACACACCAACACCCCTCATGGCCACCGGGAAACCCTCGGGACAAACCTTGCTCCTGGATCCTGACCAAGCTGGAAAACTTTACATCAACGGTCGTTACCTCACCACCTGGGGAAAGGATCCCAAACTGGGTTCGCACTTTCCGGCGCTGTTTGGGATGGATCTCCACTCGGTATCATTTTGGCATGGGCGTGTCATGGACTTTGAGTCTCTCAAATCCTTGTATGGACAGCTTTGGCAAGAAATATTGACTGATGCCAAGCTCTTGAATCTCGAGCTTGGAAAGCGACTGCTACATCGTCTCATGAACGGAAAAGATCCCGAACCAGAGGATGAAGATGACGATATGGACGACGATGATGATGACGACGAAGAAGAAAATGAGAAAAACAGACCTCAACCGCCGGACACAACTCTCGATTGTTTGGAGTCGCTTGTTATGCAATCGAAAAGGTACGATCCCGTGGGTATCTCTGCAAAGGCCCTGGCAACTACCTTTGCTTCAGAGTTTGGGAAAAAGGCATATCCGTGCTTGACGCACGAAGTGGACTGGGTGAAGGATCGGCTCCCGGGACGAAAGCCCGTGGTGGTCCCACAGAGGGTGGTAAACGTGCTTCGTCGTGGAGGATACTTCAGCGTGAAAATGACATCGAGTGAACTGTGGTTTGCGGAGAGCCGACCGCCGAAAGAGGGGACGGAAACCAAAGTGGTCGAGGCAGCGATTAAGAAGCTGGAGGAAGCAGGATGTGATGATGTGAAAGCTGCTCACATTGTGTTCAGTCCTGGGAATGACATTGACGATGTTGTCAAGAACAAGGCGGTTTGCCGGTACAATGAAACGCTTCATCAGTTTCACTTTCACGAAAAATTCTTGGCTTCGGACATGTCAGAAATGGCCAATGGGGAGACAAAGGATGACGGGGATGACATTGAGGCGCGAGCTTTCGTGATGGGAATGTTTGTTTCCCAACAGCACCCGGATGGAACCATGGCTGTACGTTATTTGCTTAGAAATAAAAATTGAACAGGAGAATGATGTCGATGAGTGTTACGAACGAACGAGTAAACTCTAGTGATGCATCGAAGACGTGGGGCAACTGACTATCTAGTGAAAAGACTACTGGTAGCAATCTCATCTACACATTGCTGGCCCTGCCTCGTAGAAATAGGTAACAGAGGTATTACCAGTACCAGGTATCTATTCTTGGTCAGAATCGACTGCTTTGCGCTCCGCGCTTACAACAGCATCTCTGTACCAACGGACTTCCTCGAACGTTTTGCGTTTGAGCGTCAACAGGTCGATCTGGTTATTCTCCAGAAAGGCGGGTCCAATCAGCGGTTCGCTGGCGGCTGGCTCCATGTCTTTTCGTCTGACCCCCTTGAAAAAGTCGTGCTCCAGCGCCTCTTGGGCCGTGCATCGACTCTTGGGGTTGAACTGCAACATCTTCTTTAGGAGGTCAATAGCCAAAGGATCAGCGGCTGAATATATCTTTTCCAGCGGCCTCCCTTTCGTCTTCTCCATGGACATGATGTATTCATGCGCGTTTCCAATTGAGGCAATGTCTTCCTGCGATGGCGTGCCTATAACTCCAAAAATGACACTTAGCTGATCCAGTCGCTCCTCGTTCTTGATTTTGTCCAGGTCGCCAGACAACGGGTAGCACGTTCCTCCCGGGAAGAGCGGCTTTCTATCCTGGTATCCAGCGACACTACCTTCTTGCATGCTAAGGAGCTCGGCCAGGATGCAGCCCAAACTCCAGATGTCCACTGCAGAGGTGTAAGGTTGAATAAGAATAAGCTCAGGCGCTCGATACCAACGAGTGACAACATGCTTTGTCAGCTGCCGAGTCAAGCCACGTTTCTGCAATGTGGGGCGGGAAGGAGGGGGATTAGTTTTGCGTTGCTACAGGCTTTCAAAGACCGAGGAAAGTGCCATCGCAGGTGCACGTACCGGCGGGGGAACGCCCAAACTTAAGGGGTTTCTGTGCGGATCTTGGGAATCAGCATTGCTGTCAATGCTATTGTCGTCTTCAGCTTGGGTGCAGTTGACTATCCTGGCGAGACCAAAGTCACAGACCTGACATGCGTCGAAACAGAAATTTGAGCCTACAATGAAAAAGTGGCACAAATCATATCATGAAGAAACACCAGCGTCGCCCGTACCTTCAAAGAGCAATCTTCGTTCAGGAGGATGTCTACAAGGTGTTGGAGACAAGGAAATCCAGGTGAGCCTCAGGCCGAGGGCATTGTGGTCGTCATGTAATCGAACTTACTAGCAGGCTTGAGGTCACGATGTATCACCGAGAAGGAATGAATATACTTCAGCCCAGTTAGCATTTGGTATAGAAATGTTTGAATGTGCTCCGTTGTCAAGTATTGGGGAGACATGATGAGCTTGTAAAGATCCGTGTCGACGTCTGTGATGGCCGATCGGGTAAAGCGTTAGACGTGGTGTACACGTACGTATCAACAAGTAGTACATGTACCTTGACTTACATTCAAACACCAAGTACAAATCGTGGAAATCGTCAAGGTCATCGGTAGGCGGCTGCACAATATCAAGTAGGTTTATGATGCAGCTATGCCCTCGTAGTCTCCTCAAAATATGAATCTCTCTGTAGAGTCTAATTGCATCAATCTCCTGATCAAACGGAGACAGTATTCTTTTGATGGCGACATATGCATCAGGATGTCCAGCATATTTGTCAACTGCTTGGGCCACCTCCCCGTAGGAGCCTTTGCCTAATATTCGAATCATTTCATATCTGTCACCTACGGCCCACTCTGAGAAGTCTTCTGTCAACGAGACGGGTCTAGCACCAACCGATGAGTCCGACTTTGGCGCAGGAGTGATTCCACCCTCAGAAAGCATTTGTTGTCGTTCAAGTTGAAAAGCATTTAGGACACTGTCCCGTATTGGAAGCGGAGTGGCTAGACCAGGATCTAGAAGCGATGCCGTGTTTTGGTTGCTAGCGGGGGTTGACGGTGGTGCTGGAGGGACCTCCTGGACATAACCAGAGTCTAAGTGGGACGCGACGTCTGACTTGTGATGAGATGAAGATCCAGAGCTGATGTCGGATGCAGGAGACATTGGACCTGTTGTGTGTGTATCTGCTCCGCCTACAACGGACGCTGGCGGTTTCCTGTCTAGATCTGAGCCTCCATGTTGTCGATGACTCCGTTGTGGTCTGCCACCGTGAACGTCACGATGTACTTTTGCCGCGGCCGCGAGCTTGCTTTCTGGCTCAGTCACCATAGCCGGAGTACGCTCTCCCCTTGCCATGGTTTCTTCTTTTAGGGATTCTGTCAGTGGAATTGGCTTGAAACGCTTTGCGGCAGGAGGGGCACTGGCATCGCCGCTTTCCTCGAGTTCAGATTCCTTCCGCACAACTCCTTGAACTGCTGCAGTAGGGGGTTCCCCCGGGGCCTTTCGCTGCTCCATGGTCCTGTTTTCAAACGTTTGTACAGCTGTAGTTCTCGGGGTTTCCTCCCCCTCCATCTGATCGTTGCCTCCCCCTCCACGTTTTTCTTCCATTGGGACAGTGACAGGGGACAGCGAAACTCGGACTCGACTCTCGGACTTGCGGCCCCTCGCAATAGTGAATCTTCTTGTAGTCCCAGCTGGGTTTGCGGCCCTAGCTGGAATAGATCACAGAAGCGACGGCAGCAGCACTATCGAGACGTGTTCTTGGGAAGTTTGACGCATCCAGGCACTGACAAACCAGCTTTTTGGAAGAATATACCCATAAAATATTATCTTCTACACGACAAGTCCGCTGATGCGACTTCTTGAGTGTTAATAGCTATTGAACGAGCACTAAAAACTGAAGAATAAGAGCACTCTGGTCTAATGCCTAGGAGACATCTACTTGTAGAGGGTGAGAAAGAAATTCCAACGATGGGTTTTGGGTTTTGCTGCTGTCGATCGAAGTATCCTGTCCAAGATCTTGGCTGCGATCTTTCTGTCTCCGTTGCCGCTTGACGTGAGTGACAGAAGAATCGACCCCCCTCCAAAAGTAGATTTACAAGATATTTTTAAAATTAAAAATTTAGTTCTAAAATTGATGAAACTAATGAAATACAAACAAAAGTAAGCAATGAGGAAAAGTTGGTAATTATTGTTTCTATCCCAAAAAAGACATAATCAATTTTACCCCCCTAGAAGTATCTTTTTCCTCCTAACCCTAAGCAACGTGTCTAGTTACTTTCGCTCTCCAACGGTGTTGCGCTTGGGGTATTGAAAAGCTGTTTGGGATCCTCCGCCTTATTCTCCCTCCATGGATACATACATGTAGTTACCGCAGCACTGCACCAGCCGACAGGAGCATTGATGCAGGTAGTACCGGTACCATTGACTCGAATCATAGGTCCCCGGCCCCCGATCCCTCAGTTTCAAAAAAGTTGACAACAGCCTCAAGGGCTTCGGAATAACGTCTATCTGCCCTTGTTGCTTGAAATCTAGGAGCTCCCATCCCATCCACTTGAAACATACTAGTATGCCATCATTCCTTCTTGCCCAGCTGATACTTTTCCAGTAGGCTCAGTTGTCAAAACGATGGACTTGGCTTGGTAGGAGTGACACCAATCCGTGTTGACATGGTCTTCACCTCCATGCTTGGCATGTGCCCTGTGCAATGATTTCAGGGTTTAAAATATGTTGGGATCGCTTGGCCTGTGCTCTGTGCACTGATTTCAGTGTTTGAAAATGTTGGGATCCCCTACCAACATGACAAATCAAGCTGCCCAACATCGGGAGAGCACTCGGCAAAGCAATTTCCCCAGCATACTTGTTGTTTGATGCAATCAATAGCAGCATCTTGAAGTCTTTGACCATCACCTGAGAGCATCATGTTGTTTCACAGGTAGCATAATATATCCGCAACCAAGCAGGAAATGAGCTTTTCTGGAACAGAAGCTCAGTGGCACCCATGATAGAGAATTCAGTTTTCAACATCGTCTTTCAAAGCCCCTGTCTTCTTAGGACTTGGTCCAGGTCAGCACCTCCAAAGTGAGGGCAAAGGTGGTGGCCGCTTTCTGTTGGCTACTGGAACTCATCAACCCATTTAGACTTTTAGGTGTCCCATCACCCCCAGCCCCTGCAATAGCACCAATATTGCCTCCTGCAAGGTCCAATGCTATCTTCTTTCTTTGTCCCTCTCTCGTACAGGGGAGTTTTTTGACACAAGGCTCGGGGAGGAATTTCACCCCGCTGTGGGGTTTCATCACGGTGCACCTGTATCTGTTGGTGCCTAGTGCTATTCTAAAAGCACCCGGAACACGATCCATCACAATATGTGCTGCTGATACCACAAGGAAGGATACAAGACGCTTATTTGGGGGAGATATGATTCGATTCCCTGATGGCTAGCTAGTAGCTGGCGCTAGAAGGCTGCCATTTCCAGGGCCCTCAACCATACCGTACTGGATCCACGGCGACTACGAAGACAAACAACTTCGACAAACAACTTCAGTCCCTCCTCGTTTCTGTCCTGGCATCTATCTTGGGGGTCCATGTTGGAGCAGCTTCTTGTTGGGCCTGCGGCGCTGCCACGTGCCTGGAGAGACCAAACATGTGAAATGAGCTGAACTATGATGTCGGACCGCTGTCTCCTACCGGCACATACTAGATGTTCCGGGAGGAGTGGGTAAATAAATTAGGTAGTTGTCAGCGCTCGGAAAGTTCAATCCATTCAGGCCCCAGGTATGAAAGCGGCTATTGCATACCGGCAGCGCACATGTACATGTATGACACACCATTCCGTAGCTGTTAGCTCCCTGCTTGTATTCGCAGGAAGAAACTAAGAACTGCTGTCCCCACGACTACCTAGCGAATAGACACGTCGGTTGTGTTCAATTTCTGCAAGATTTAGAATTTCAGTTGGCAATCCTGCATGCACATGACTATACATAGATGGGTATCAACGCCTCTACGCAATGATCATACTTGATGTGAAACAGATCCCTCTCAGGGTTCTGCACCGTGAATATTGCACCCTCAACTGTGTTTCGAAGGTGAAGGCTGGTCCATTTGGCAGGATGACGTCAAGCTGGCTTCTCCCACCAAGGCAACCTTGCTTGAAGCCATCTGCACTCCTGCCATCTTGAAGTACTGGACAACTGACCATCAGGATTCGCCAGCAAGGTTTTCCTCAGCGGCAACCCACCACATTCACTGGCAAATGTCCCACCGCCTGATGAAAACACTTCCCGCGGGTATGCAACGGTGGTCCACCAAACACGGATCCGAAAACTGTGGGGTTGGCAAGACATTATGCCACTGGCAACTCCAGGCTGATGCTGATTGCCCCCGATGTGGTAATCCTGAAGATACTACACATGTACTTCGATGTGCTGATACTGAAGCTACATCTTTGTGGTCTGCACATATGATAGAACTCGGGTCTCTTCTTGCTGATCTCCATACACCTTTGGAACTTCATACTGCCGTGCTTGATCGATTACAGCACTGGCGTCAGAACATCCCCTTTGTCGTTGACCCCACTTGGAGTCCACAACTCCGTGCTACCATTCAGTCCCAGGATACTATTGGCTGGAAATGCTTTCTTGAAGGCCTCCCCACCAAGCTGCTTTCCCGCTACATGGATGTTTACTACTCTTCCCAGGGCTTTTCCTTCACTGGCAATTCTTGGCTCTACAAAATCCAACGAAGATCCCATCTTATGGCATGGTCCCTTTGGGAACACCGAAATACCACCCTCCATGATGAACGGCGCCCCCGCCACAAACAAGCTCTCCACTTCCTCCACCAGAGTATCACCCATGAATACTTACAAGGTCGTGGCACACTTCCACCCTCACAACATCACTTCTTCCGCCTGTGCTTGATCCAATTACTCAGCCGCCATACCCACTTCAAACAATCTTGGCTGCAAAATCTCCATGCTGCGCGTGATCGTGAAGATCGACGCCGCATGCTCCTCACAGAAGACCGCTCTGCCTCTGCCCTCTACCTCTGGATGAAAACTGGCAGACTGCGCTCTCTTCCCAATCCCCCTTGACACTTCCCTTGTGTCATTACCCACAACCCTGTACCCTCTCTGAATAAGTCCAATCACTTTGTGTGATACCCCTTTCACTTGTCTGGCATTCTGACTTGCCCCTGTGACCCTTCTCCATATTTTACTGTTCCCAGAATGACCATTTCTCTGTGCCAATAGCGCCAGGTGTTGAAGGAGTGAAACAAAAGCAAACAGCCTTCGGCGCAATAGTACCCTTAGATTTAATTACTATTAATCAATGTGTAAAACTGAAACCGTGAATATTGCACTGCTGGCCCAACCTACATGTCGGTACCAGGTACCATCGATGAGAGGGGTCAGTGTCCGGCTACCAGGTACCGCCAGAAGCCAGAAGGGTGGGAAGTCCTAAAATGTGGAAATTACCCTTTCTCCCCAAATGTTGAATCGTATCCTGTAAAACGTATAATGCGCAAGAGAATAAAGAGAGGTAGCATGCAGGACGCAGCATGCCTCTTGGGTGAAGACCAACGCCACAGAAACTGATCTCATCGTCAACTCGACGCGGTATTTGACCTTGTGTAATGATGCCAAGGCGACCAATTCCTTGCAGGCTTCGTATCTGTCTGTCTGTTCCGTGCCTACAAGTGAGGCTGCATCTCTCTTGAAAGTGAGACACCCTGCTACTTGTACCGGTATATCCAAACGAAATTTTGCAACGGCGAAGAGTGGAAGGGTGGTGTCAGAGAGTCGAGAAGTGCAATCTTTGGTCCTGATACTTGTACTATTACCCCGGTCTGGTCCTGGTATTAATAGCGTTTGAAATTCCAGAACTTGTTGCTATTGGAGGGAGATATCTGACAAGACATACTACTAGCACGCCATGGTAGAGCCGGAACCACGACGTTCGCTGTCGAGATGTGCCTTTCTCGTCTTGGGAGGAACCATGTTGGCAGTTGCATTATCGTCTGTTCGATACTTTGGTGGTACTGGGCCAGAACTCCATCAGAGGAGTGTCGATCACCCTGGCTCTTCATGGAACCAGACTCAAACAGAGCGGAATCTTCTATTTGGTTTTTCGGATAGAAAACAGGAAGACCCTGGCTTCACAAGAACAAGATCATTCAGGTTGCCTCCTGCTGCACCCTCTGCAGCTCCTGACTCTCAATCCCCTTCGTGGACTCCAACCATGACAACAGGACCCAGCCTGTTTCCCAGCAATAGCGAGACCGATTCTGAAACTCCAGTGCCGTCACCAGGACCTTCTAATTCTCCTTCCGCGACGTACGTTCCTTCGCCTGTTCCTTCTCAAAGTCCAACAATAACACAGCAACCACGAACCACTGGTCCTTCGGACGACCCTAGTATGAGCTATCCTGGGGTTCCGTTGCTCGAAGCACCGACAGAAACACCAACCTCGAGACGAACACCTAGGCCTTCCCCTGTTCCCTCCACCTCTAGCAGTCCTTCTGTCGTCCCGACTTCTCTACCCACTCAAGTTTCCACAGACACGTCGACGATCACGCCTACACTCAAGCCCACAGAGGAAGTATCACACATGGAGCCATCTTTTGAACAATCAACTTTGGTGCCAAGTATACAGCAATCATCCACAGAGCCGACACTGGAGCAATCAACCGAAGGGCCGACAATGGAGCAAACAACCGAAGAGCCATCGGTGGAGCAATCAACCGTAGAGCCAACTTTGGAGCCCACTCTAGAGGAAAATCTTTATCCCACGGTCATGCCGAACGAACAGTCAGAACCCGGGGAACCCGCTTATTCATCGCCTACAGTATGCACCGGCAATCAAACGGTAGTGTTGGAGCACTTCTACGTCTACTTTGAAGAGTTCAACACCTCCATTGCATCAGATGGCTTGCTCGAACAATCCTTCCGTGAGTCTTATCAGAATGGGAGTTATGTGATGGAGTGTGGACCAACCTTGCGCACGGTCAAGAGGGTTCCTGACCCCGAAGTACAAGAAGAGGCTACGACGATCGTAGAAAAAAAGCAACCCAAGCAGTACTCTTATGGGCAGCTCCTCGTGTTGACAGAAAGGATCGAGTTTCGGACAACCTCTCTTCAGTATGACGACGACATGTCGGGTCTTTTCCCGACTCCGGTGATGCAAGGAGTGTTTATTGGGGGACTTAACCAGTTTTTTGGCATGCGACAGTTACCCATCTACGCAATTGGTCTCAAAGAAGCGCCGGTGCCATCGCCGACCGAAATGCCCACGGTATCTATGGTCCCTAGTGAAGCAGCAGCCCATTTTGAAGCACCGACGCTATTCCCCACGGTAACTGTGCTCCCGGATGAAACTGAAGAACCAACCCCACGGCCCACCGTAACAATGTTCCCGGATGAAACTGAAGCACCAACATTCGATGAATCTTCCGCGTACAGCCCGTCCCCAGAACCGACCGTCCATCCCACATACAGACCGTCCCCGTCCCCGACCTTTTTGCCAACAGCGCGTGTGTCCGCTCCAATTCAATTTGTACCAAGAGACCGTCCTACGTCCACAACCTCACCTTTCCCTTCTGCATCGGGGGTTCCAACAGTATTCAGCAGTGTTGAGCCAACCGATGCATCAACACCAATACCTTCGACTGACCCCACACCAGCAATCTCACATCTGCCGTCGGTCAAGCCATCAGGTTCCCCTTCGGCCAATCCAACTGGTGCACCGTCAGCAAATCCAACAAAGGGGCCATCGGCTTTCCCAAGCAGTGGTCCAAGTGTGCTCCCCACGGAAAAGCCCTCAAGTATTCCAAGCAGGATTAGCCACGTTCCTACATTGACACAAAGCGTGAACCATGCCGACCTACCGTCAAGCGCATCGTTTCCACCGTATGCAAAGACCGTTGCCCCAACAACAGCCAATACTTCAAATGTTCCAAGCTCAGATTCAACTGGAAGCCCCTCCGCAAATCTGAGCTTTCAACCTTCAACAAGTCCGGGTTCTGGTGCCACCGTAGAACCCAGCATCTCGGCGAATCCCAGCGTATCCCCAACTGCTTCGCCTACTTCTAGGCCAAGCGAATTGCCCAGCTTTCGGCCATTGGCACCTCCTGATTTCACGTTGCGCGAACCGGAACTTAAATCGGTCCAAATGATTCTCATTGGAGCTTCACTGTTGCCGTCGAGAAGTCAATTGGTATGGGCTGAGACAACAGAAACGGCAATTCGGGAGGAAGTAATAGATGTTTTGAACAATCAAGTTGAATCGGTAGATGTCAGAGTCGAGATCGTGTCTCAGAACCCTCAACAATCCACGTCAAGGTTCCTTCAAGAGCCGGCTTTGGATACACCAGGCACAATATCTTCCAACCTGACAATCATTTTTGATGTCGAGTTTTACATTCGAGCAGTCATTGAAGACCACAATGTCAGACGCTATGTGGGTGCTGCCTTGGATGGCGCTGGCGACCAAAGTGTATTCATTCAACAGCTGAAATCGAGCGGCGAAGCAGCGTTTCAAGACCTCACGACGGTTCGTCTGGTACTTCCACCGGACAAAACTGGGGTCTCAAGCAGCTTGACAGAGGACGACCGCGAAACACTCGGCACAGGCATGGCGGTAGGAATTGCGGCAGTCAGTATTGCAAGCATCGCGCTACTAATCGTTGGTGTCTACATGTGGGCCAAGCGACGTCCCGACTACAGCCATTCGTCTTCGTCGGATCAAAGATTGAACAATCTGAATGACGACGACGTTAGTGATTTGGCCTTTGACATTGTTGACAAACCAGATGTCGATGTGAGTACGCTTGGAGATCCTATTCCACAGGGCATTTCTGCCTCTCCCACAGACGTTTCAATAGCCGAGGAAACCACTAGTTTGCCATACGACTACAAAGTGGCTTCACATGCACTTCCATCGCTTGACGAAAGTGGCTCATTTTCCTATTCCGACGTTGGGTCCAATGTCATGTCGGTGCAGACGGATGACGACACTTTGGATGCGCAGTACAACATCGAAGATCGCATTGAAGTCGAAGCACCGCCAGGAATGCTTGGTCTCGTGTTGGAAGAAGACTCAGAAGGTGTCGCATCTGTGTATGACATGAAGGAATTGAGCCCACTGGCTCACAAGATTCAAATCGGAGATAAGTTAGTATCGGTTGATGATGTTGATGTCTCGGGCATGCCGGTTCAATTGGTGATGAAACTAATCGCTTCAAAGCAGAAAAAGCGAGTGCGAAGGATGGTCTTTTGTCGGCCTACAAAGAAGAATGCACACTGAGCACCCTTTGCAGTACAGGAATAACAAGTAATTTTTCCATTTCCATGTAACCCATGCAGGAGAGCCTGCCCTCGAGGTGAAACTCCCCTCACAATTCTCTCCGAAATCATTTCACCTCCCGAGCAAATGGACCTCTCTTTGGGAAATGATATGAAATCAGACAGAACAACATGGGCACCTCTGGCACAGTAACCCCCCAACGCTTCTAAGATATATTAACTTACTTACTAGAGATAGAAGATAAATATCGTGGTGGATCAAGCGAAGGATGTCATTCCTTTTCTTTTCCTCCGTTCGTTCGATCGATCAATCACCTCACCATGGCAGAAACGCCGCTCAAAAAGAAGGTAGCAAGGGCTGCTGGCATCCACAGTCTAGCAAAGTCAGGAGGAATGAATGTTGTGCAGGCGATGGCGTATGCTGGAATGACTACACCACAGAAAGAAGATCCAAATCTCCGACAGAAAGTTCGACGGAAATCGCATTCTTTGAAGTCTACAGCCGCTGCAGCCAAGGCCGACCATGATGCACCAGTCAAGCCGCCACCTCACATCCCTGAAGAACAAAGAGCTGCTGCAGAAAAGTCGCTCAAGGAAAAGCTGGCCAAAAAGAGTCGACTGACCGGAAGACAAGCCGCTCATGCTCGGAAGCAGAAGAAAGAAAGCGCAAACACAGCGCCTTCTACAAGGCTGCATCTCTAGAGTGGAAGGAAGAACTACTCAGAGCGGAGTCCGAAAGGGCCCAAGGTTTTACCTATGTTCCACGATCTGCAGAGACGATTGCAAATGAATTCAACAAGAAACATGAAACCAAACTGAATGGCAAAACCATTCGCAACATGGTGGAACGTGGGGATGCTGGCAAGAGTCCCAAGCGAAGAGGACCAAAGGGAAGGATCGATCCTGTTGGATTCAAGGCTTTGTGTGGAGCTGTCGAGTCTCTTTGTTCCCTCTCTTCAGATGTTGATACATCAAAATTGGCAAAGCTTTTGAATGCTTGCATCAACATGAAGGAAGGACTCGGCAAACGGACTGGTCGATGGCTGCTTGAACGAGTTGAAGCAGAGATCGGAAGCATCCTCGAATGTGGCAAGGCAAACAGAGTTGAGAAGAGAAGGATGAAGTGGGCAACCTACAGCAATATCAACCTTTGGTTTGATTCCCTCAAAGCTCACTTCATTCACATTGGAGCAGCCAAAGAAAACAAAGAAGATACTGCCACCAATGGTCAGCTAACATGGGTTGACGATTCCCAAGGAAGAAGGATTGCCAATATTGACGAGTCAGGCCTCACACTTGATGATACCAAGAGTCAAAAAGGTGGCCGCCCTCCAATGAAGTTTTACAACCCAAGGCTTCAGGCCGAAGCCATCTATGAAGCACACAAGTCCTCATATCACTGCACACTCCTTGCAGGAACGTTTGCCTCCGGAGAGAAGCTGCCGGAACACTTTCAGATTCCGTCTGATGCTCAAGAAGAAAATATGGAGGTACCTGCCGACTTCATTGTGGATATCCTAGAAACCTCGGGTCGTTACTTGTTGGAAGAAGGAATGACGAAGACAATGTCTGCTACGTATGGTGTCAACAAGAAGGGAGGAATGAATAAGGAACAGTTCGGCAAGTGGACGAAAGGAAACTTTATTCCGATTATCCTAGAAGATACAGCCGATGTTCCAGGGAAGCGTTGCACCTTGCTTGTTGATGGTGGGCCAGGCAGGACCAACAAGGACATGTTGATTGAACTGCGAATGCTTGGCATCTACCCTTTTCCGTCTGGGCTCCAAACACCACCCATATTCTCCAAGTCATGGACATGTTGTTTGGCCTATTCAAAACTGCCTTCTTTGACAACCTTCAGTTGCTTTGGGAATACCGACAGAACAACAAGGATGCAGGTGATTCTATTACTCGGAATGATATCGGCCTCTTGTGTTATGGCAGTGTCCGTCGGCGGCAGAAGGATCCACAGTTTCCTGTGCTCCGGAACGCCATTGAGGAGGCATTCTCTATTGCCAAGGCGCGGCATGTATGGGCTGACAAGCTAGGTGTCTATCCAGTCTTCAATCGAAAAGCACTTGAGGATCCAAAAATCAGACATGAGTTGGTTGTTGACTCGGAGGGAGTTGCGGACGATACGGTGGATCCGCAAGCCTCCTACATCAAGGAATTGAATGAACAGAACAAGATGTGCTGCGATATTCTTGATTCCTTCGGATACAATGGAGATCTGCTCCGTTACCAAGCTCCGGCCTTCAAACAACAGAAGAGACAAGCCGCGGTGACAGCTCCACGGTCAATGGAGCGACAATTAGCTTTGGAGGCAGCTGCGACACAAGGGCAAGTCTTCAAGGTGACAGGTGGTGCTGCGCTCAATGACGATGACTTCCTCATTGCTGATGAGCGCGGTAGACTGAAGCAACAGACGGGGTCTCTTGAGAAGGACAAGAAGAATCATGTCGCGGCATGGAAGAGACAACAGAAGGCAATGGCAGTGGTTGAAGCAGAGAAGCCACTGTCCCGATTGACTGGAGAGGACTTGAAGGATTTGATAGCATGGAAGTCTGGAAAGCCTTGCCCCTCCAAACTGTCGAAAAAGGAGGAGAGGATGGCTAGATGGTTGGAGTTGAAGGACTTAATTGTCGATGCTATTGAGCCATGGCCGAAGAGAAAGAACAACAGTTAACAGAGCTCAAAGGAAGGATTGAATCCAACATCAGCCTCGACAACACTGAATACGGTCGTCAAAGGGAGATACAGAAAGCTAAGGCACGGTCTCTTGTTGCAGCTATGGATCCGGCGGAGCAACATGCCTTCATCCAAAGCATTCAAGACAACTCTGAGGCACCAACAGAGGATGTTACTGAGACGGAGAGGATGGAGGCAGAGGATGACATCGAGTGACACTTTTGAGACCTCTGAAGCATGCTGTCGCTATGGGTAGCTACGACTGTTACCAGCGGCTGATGCCCATGGTGAGTCTTCTTCATAGTGATGCTGACAGTTCTTGCATTGACACCTTTCTCATCGGCCGCTCCTGTTATCTCTTTTATGTGGAACAGGTGCGCCATGGCGGGAACTTGGCTGCCATGCGTCTATTTTTTCAACGACTACCTAACAATTTACTAGCATGGAAAAATTACTGGTTATTCTCGTACCTGGCTATGTTGAGATACCAGTGGGAATGCGTACTTCATTCTAATTGAGTTGTAGTTATTAATTAATGGTGATGATAGATTATGCTAAGTATAGTTGCGAAATAGTTTTAATAAATGAATGGTAAGGATACTTTCTGCTGCTGGGTGTATGAAACAAATGTTGAGGTCTTTCAAAAGAGAAGGAGCGTCTACTTGTAGAGCTGTCTGTCAAGCCCAAGTGCGCTCAAACTTCCCATTGGTTTCCAGATCGGATCAGATGAAATCTGATCAGACCAGGACGATTGCGTCATGATAATCATGCTTTGCTGTGTTCGATTTTGGGGAACTTGTGGAAATCAATGTGATGGTGATTCATGGTGTGCCTGTTGAGGAGAGTATTGTTCTGTTTTGGTTGGAATGTTTCTTCGAGGTGACGGGGCTTCTCAATGATGGTTGCCTTGACAATGTGGATAGGATCCCAGAAGAAGTATTCCCAATCGTCTCCTTCCTCAATGGTAGCCTCGTCAAAGATCCTTTCCACGATATCAAAACCTTCAACCACCCTAGCAAAGCAAGGGTCAGCCTGTTCTTCAATGTCATGGTGGTACTGGCCACCAGGTCCATGCATGACGGTATTGTTTTGCTTGTTGATATACCAATCAGGACCGCCAGGTCTTCCGGTGAACCCTAGAGTCCACTTCTCGTGAGGGAACTGATGGGAATATTCGGGGAATGCGAGTGAATCAAGTCCAGCGTCGACAAATGGTTTCAATGCAGCCTTGCGATCAGCCTCGAATGTATCTTCCTCAATGGTGTCATCTTCCTCAAGCATGGGTCCAGCCTGCAAGACGTGGGGTCCGTTAATGTAGAACCAAGAATTGTCCCAGAGTTTGTGAATGACTTGTTCCAGGAAGAGTTGGACGGCATGTGGCATGACCTCCACAGGAGCAGTTTCGACAATAAAGTGATGCTCGGTCTCATTGGCATCAGATGGGAGTACAAAAGTGAATTCGACATAGTGAGCTCCCTTTCCAAACCTGGCAACAAGAGGCAAGGCAATATGATGATGAGTACGATCGTTCGTTGATTGGTGCGTGGCCTGTGTCACAACAGCCAGACTTACTTTTCAGAAACGGATCTCTGGGCTTCGCGGGTGGCAGATTCTTGGAGCTTTTGGATCTGCGACTTGAATGCTTCTTCTCTGGCAACCATTCGATCTTCCTCTAGACGACGGTTGGAGAATTCTTTCATGATTTTCTTTTCATAGGAGCTTCGCAAGTCCTCCTTTTCTTTGTGAAGCTTTGCGTTCAAGCGCTCCAGTATGGAGTATCTCTCGTCCATTTCACTGTGGCCTCTTCGGCTGGTGGACCTTTGAGAGTAGAGGTCGCGGTACATCTGCACCACTTGATCCATGGAGTCGGCTCCAATTTCACGAAGCACAAATTGGAACTTGGATTGATAATAGCCTGAAAGGAGGATGAAGAAGGCCAAGCCAAGAGCAAGCCAGGATGTGGAGTTTCGGATGGCAGAAGGGAGGAAGGAGTCATTGGCAGAGTAGGAGGGTCGTCGCTTGCCGTAGGGGCGACTGGAGGAGGAAGCATAACTGGAGGGATAGGAGGAAGCATTGCTACCATAATTGCTGTTTCCGTATCCAACATAGCAAGTGGAAGATGTAGAAGATCCACCATAGTTCGGCAAGATGCTTGAAGAGGAAGAGGAAGACGACGACGACGACGAAGTCGAGGAGAAGGATTGGCGGCCAGCTCGCAACATGTTTTCTCTTTTGCTTCTTGTTGTGAAAGGTAGATGTAGGAGTAGAGGACTCGACTTCAGCACAAGAGGAAATATGTGAGGACTTTGATCTTTTGCCAGATCTCCTGAAAATTTTGTGTGAGTCTTCTTTCTCATCAAAATCGAAGTTCCCAAGACAAGGGAGGTTTGGCGAGTATTTTGATGAGATCCGTCGAACGTTCGATGTGTCTGGGAGCAACAGACGGCGCGGCAGAGCCATCGGCTTAAGTGAGGAAATTTCTCTAGAATCTTGCTAAGTACGAAAGAAACTGGCTGGCTTCTCTTAGGCGACGCTGCGGGATTTGCGTCTAAATAATACCGGAGTATGTGGGATGGCCGTCGTTTTTGGAGCATCGGTCAATTTTGCTCGACCGCGCCGCATCGATCACTGGTTCTGAAGATGCTTCGCAAAATAAATGGCCGATCTCAACTCATCGTCGCAGTTCGCACTGGCACCATGGCAATGAGAGTTGCGGTATGCATGGTAGATTCTTGTTGGTCAGTTGACTGCCTTATGCATCAAGTGTTTGATCTAGGATAGAGCATAGCTGTGACACATTCAATGGCGGTGGTGACACCAAGTGACAGTTGTCACTGTAGTCACAGTTGTCACTCTGGCTCGTCACAGGCGGCCTTCTTCAAATGGTTGTGACACTTGCACCTTGACTGTGACATGGCATGGTATCGATACCGGTACCGCTACTAGCTGGGTATTGTTGGAAGGCCGTGTGGCAGTATTGATAGTAGTACAATCCCCTGGTTGGGATAATTTGGTACCAAAGGTAGCAGTTGCCTGCATCGACTGACTGGACTCCAAACCCAAGAGGTGCACCTGCACTTGCCTTTGATAGTGCAGGCACGAATACTAGTAGCAACTGTGCAATCCATTTGGATCTCTCCTTTGCGATCTTTTTGAGAGACCAACAGACCAACACAACAACACTCCCAAGAAACAAGATCCCAAGAAACAAGATCCCAACGTCCTTCCATTAGGGATACGAAAGGTACACTTGCATTTGCCTCTGATAGTTAGTTTTCTAGTGTTCTCCTTAGATCTGGTGCGGTGCTCATAGACTGTGGAACGAGATCGGCTTTGTCTCTGGGAAAGTAGCGTTATCTCTGGTCGGTTCGTGTGTTCTCTCGCACTTGCACAGCTGTGAAGGGTCACAGGAAACGGGTTCCTTACTTTAGAGCGGCCAGATCCCGTTTCTCGTGAATTCGGTCCAAGTCAATGACAATTGGCAACACGCCCTCATTCTCACTATAATGGACTAGTATGACCAGGCAGCCATAAGCTTTTTGACACGATATAGTCGTAGACTGACGGCTCTCAGTACCTCCTAGTCGAGCGAATAAATGCTTCCCTAGCTACCATACAATGTGCAACTCGCGTTCTTTGTTGGCATCCTCAGTCGAATTGGAGATAGCTATAGGCAGCCAAGGAAGCGTAGGCTAAGACGTTTTTCCATGGGTAGAGTACCGTACCGGTACTGCATGTCTAGACCATACTTATACAATCCTTCGTCCACTTTGAAGTTTTAGCATAGCATTCTGCGTAAACCTGGGCCACTGCACCGCATCACTTTCTCGCTACGACTGTACGGCAGCTAGCTGCTGACTTCGTCAATGTCTGCGTGAAACTCACGCTGAAGGTAGCATGCACATTGATAGATCTATCGACGATAGATTGATAGTTTTTCCGGCTGGCTATGGTACCGGTGTGCATAGTCAATCCGTTGTGTGGTTACCTCCTAGTCACCCATGACCAGATCTGCCAATTAATAGCCATAAATGGTCTCACGGTAGCAGCTGTCATAGCCGGTTGTGTCGAGTGTGGAGTGGCGGGTGGGCATGCCATCATTGGATGTTCCGGAAAAACATGCATCCAAGCCGGCATGCTCCATCGGGTTTTGCCGTTACAAAACATCCAAGCTCGAAGAAGGCTCCAAAGAACATGGCAAATAGTGTTCCATCATTGTGTTGATCCTTGTACCACTCTTTCCTTTCTCCTTCACCGTCGTCGTCGTTGTTGTTGTCTTCTTTTGCAGGGGTTTCCTGTGGCACACACAATAAGGAGCATGCCATTTCGGAGGTCCAAGCAGAGCAGGAAGGAGGGCCTCAACGAATCCAATCACAGATCCTCGCGCCTGTACGACGGTCAAGAGCCCGTTCCATGGCCTCTTGTGGTTCATCATCAATCGCATGTAGTTCCTTTTACAGTTCCTGCAACTCCCCAGAAGAAAGATCCCAATGACACCAGTGGGCTCACAGAGTTCGATACTTCCTTCGATGAAACGGGATTTGTTGTTCTCCAGACGGACTGTACGGGTAGACCCAACATTAATGTGGCTAATGGCGGCGGCCCAAATCCGCAACGACGAGAACTTGTCGATTTGATGAAACGAACTGGCGGTACTGCTTTTATCGCTCCTCCAAAGCGAGATAACGATGTCGTCCTTTTAACTCCGCCAAAGCAGAAGAGAAATGACAGAGGTGCAAGCAAGAAGCAGCTTAAGAAAATCAACAGTTTGGAAGATTTGGCGGATCAAGAGGAATCTCCTGCTACTAAAACAAGACGCCACCAACTTGCCCTTAACATTAGCTGGAGCCCCAGTACGAAGCATCCCAACAAGAATCCAAAGGGCAGGCTCAGTATCTCCAATAAACGAGGAGATCTGGCGGTTCGACGAGTCAAAGTCAATAGGAAGCCTGTTGATGGAGCCAAGACGACTTCTCCAATCAAAAAGGCAACGGTCATTGACAACAATACCTGGAAGAACACTGCTGGAACGGATGCATGTGAGTGGATTAAGTTTGGAGACGACGAAGTCATTCCATCCGCATTCGTCAGCTTTTCCTCCATGCTTTCTAGGCCGTTGACCAGTAGCGCAGTAACTCTGTCCATGCTTTCGTCCAAGACAACGGAAGGGCAAGAGGATTGTCCGGTTTGGAATGACCCGCCCGATGGGATGGTTCGAGATAGCATCTACCGGCACATTCAAATCTGCATGGACTTGCGCGCGGACAAAAAGGGCACCACCAATGCCACAGCAGCGAAGGAGGCTGCCAAGAAAACAGCATCACCCGCGAGTATTCCGGTCGATGTCGACGATGTCTGCTTTGTCGAGACGGCCGACCCAGAGACAGTCGACGCCGTGGCGATACAAAACATTATGGAAGGTAAACCGCACGGAGCGTTGGATTTCTTGTCAGTTCTTTTGCAGGATCAACGAAAGGAGAGACTTGCTACAGATTCTGAGGTCATGCTTGAGGGCAGGATAGCCACCACCAAGTCACATTGTGCGTTGGTCTCCTTGCTCGCCATGAGTCCAAAAGAGGCCTGGCAGTACTCAATGTCGGCACTTCAGACGCACAAGAAAGCGGGAAGGCCAGTGCAAACAGCATTTGCTACCATCGAACTGGGGTTGGTTTTCATGGGGAAAGATAAGCTCAAGGAAGCCTTGCGGACCTGGAGGGAAGCGCTGCAGCTTACATGCATGACCTTGGTAGGCATGAACGAAGACCTAGCGATACATCCTTCCTACCTGTTGTATCTTGGCTCATACGGTATTATTCTCATTGCATTGCTAAACAATTTTCCAGGGGTATGATCATGGACAAGTTGCGCTGCTGTAAGTTCCTTCCATCACATACTCCTTGCTCTATCTCGAAGTCAACTTACTTATTCAACTTGCTCAATCGCCATCAACCAACCCTTACCCCAAGGCTTTCTAACATGGGTTGTCTCCACTGCTGTATGGGCAACAACCTTGCCAGTCTACGGGCTCTTGAGGAATCCTTGGGTTTGCAGAGACAACTCCTTCGATCAATCATGCCAGAGGACAGTGTTGACATGCCTCTGTTCAACATTGCGACGACTTTGGGCAATTTGGCCATTCTGAAGGCCAAATTCCAAAACTACGATGCCGCCGTTGGCTTACTTGAAGAAGCCTTGGCAATTCAAGAGTCCATTTTGGTCACTTCAGAAAAGGTCAAGGGCACCACCAAAAAATATTTGACGTGGTTTGAAAAACTGAGAGACGAAGCTGACGATGTCAATGAAAGAAACGACGCAAGTTTCGGCTGTTTTCCAGGGCCTCAACCTGACCTTTGCAACACAGGAGATCGAGAACTGGCACTGTCCATTTTCGGCGACAGCGACGGGATCCCCCGGAGACACGAAGGGACCAAACATCACCAAACGACCTCGCAATCCAACGCTGGCGAAGACGACAACAACTTTGATTGTGTCGAGCTAGGATCACTCGTCAAAAGGTCCGCAGCACGGCAACGGGTTAGTGACACGGTTCATCGAAGCTTGGAACGATCGTCCGACAAGATGGGAGAACAGAGCTCCTTGCTCTCGTGCATCTCTACGTCGAGAAAGAAGCAGTCTATTCTGGTGGATATCGACGCGGATTCCGTGATAGATGCAGAGTTTCATCTCGAAGAGATCCACCTACAAGCTTTGGATCATCTATCGGTAAGTGAAAGTCAACTAGGAAGGTATTGTCGAAGCTATCACATTTGCGGGCTCATCGACTTTCATGTTTTTCTTGAACACAGCGCAAAGAATATAAGGACGCCTTTGACTTGTTTCAAATGTCCCTTCGCAGCCACAAAGACAAGTACGGAGATGTACACCATCTCGTTGGGACGGCGTTGCATAACTGCGGAATTGTCAATTTGATGGCTGGACAGTAAGTGCTGTGCAACGAGTCCGGCGTGAATCATCTTTTCTACAGTTTGACACCAACACCTGCTATCGCTATTACGTAGATATGCCTTGGCGAAACCCTTCTTCCAGGAAGCTGTCAGTGTACGAACAGCCTCCTTGGGAGAAACTCATCCTGATGTTGCCGTAAGCCCAAAAAGAGAGACTCAGATGTTCAGCAAGAACGATACACCATGCTTCGTAGCGGGAGCTGCATTACACTAGTACTCACCAACGTTTCCTTGTTTCACAGGCCTCCAAGTACAAACTTGGTTTGATTCAGTTCGCCGGAGGTGATCCCGAGGGCGCACTTGCTTCTTTTGCGGACGTTATGCTCCATCTAGGAGCAAATCCCTGTACCTACGGATTCCTCTCCGAGGCAAAGATGCTGAATAACATAGGAGTGGTGCAGGCAAGTCGAAAATTGCTCGTCACGCCCGTCAAAACGCCATATTATGGCAGCATGCCGCTCACATGTCGCTTTTTCCTGCATCTCCCAGTTTGAGATTGGACAGACACTGGACAGCTTTCAAAGCTTCTTCCGGGCGTATGAAGTTCAAAAGGGGCTCTTGAAAGAAGGCTCACACTGCGCCCCGGTGGAACGTGGCCTAGCTAGTACGCTCTGCAATTTGGGATACGTTTATGCCGAGCAGAAACAGTACAGTGACGCCTTGGATGCTTACCAGCAAGCCTTAACGATGCTGAAATGGCACTATCCAATGAAGAACGCCGCAATCATGACCATACAGGAAAACATTGCTCATGTCAAGGCTTATGGGGCTGTTAGTGAGAGTGACGTTTTGCCAAAATGCACTCCATTGAAAGCGGGAGTCGAAGATGCACCCAAGTTTGTGTTTCCAAGCTGCACACCAGTAAGGGATCGCTCCGCCACCGCCCAATCGAAGGTTTTTGGCAGCTGCATACCCCATGGTCGGGACAAGCTCAAGAGAGATGGAGGAAACGGCAAGCCACCATTCCCACCTCGGGACACGGACAAACAGCAGAGTCAAGAGACACGTACGATGGCGCACGGAGACAAAGAAGCGCAGGAAACCATTGTCCAATCGAAAATGCCGGAGAAGGGCGTGTCACTGCGAATAGAGAATGATGACGAAGAAGAAGCTTCCTTCATCCAATCCGCATTTGGTGGGTGCATTCCCGATGTGGCGGAGTTGGAATGCAATGGCGAGAATGGGCAAGAAGCAAAATCGAAGCTCTCTTCTTGTTTTCACATGGAGTAGACTACAGTAGTGTTGAAAGTAACATGTTATAGACGACTAAATCATAGAACATTTTGAAATGCGCCAAGATGCATCGTTTGTTTCCTTCTCATTCCTCCTCTTCCACTTCTCCGTCAGCGGCCTCTGCTTCCCTCTTCTTTTTTGGTTCCACTCGAACGCATTTGACAAAGTTCATTGGAATCGTAACCATTCGTCCTTGTTTGTTGATGTATACATCCATGGCATTTCGGTCCAAGAGCTTTCCCTTCAGAATCCTGTTCGATTGCCAAGGGTCCTGAGTTTCTACAAAGACAGTTTGTCCCCTGTTTGCATCGAATTGCTTTTGTGTTTCCAACAACTCGGGTGGTCCAGGACTGGCCAATACCAGTTCATGACGTGAAAGGATTTCAAGTTCTGCTTCTGCCTCCTCCAAGGCATCCAACAACGCCCCGGCAATGGTGCTGATTGCGGCCGTATCAACTCTGAATGGTTTGGGTCTTTTTTCTTCTTGTTCGTAGAGTTCCTTAGCCTCCTCTGCATCAGTGAGTGCCGTTTCGTATCTTGTTTCTTCATTCATGTACATATCGAGTGGATCTTCGTCCTCTCCTTCTGGGATTTGTGGTTCTCCGTCTTCTCCTTTGGCCCATCTGTTTCGGTTTCTTTGCTTTCGTTCTTCGGCTTCTTCTTCTGTTTCTCTCTGATACACGATAGTCTCGTCATCTGACATGATTGGTTCTGGATTGGGATCTTTGGGATCGAAGTATACGGGGTCGCTTGGATTTCTGACTTCAATGACAGGTCCTGACGCCTTGAAAGGGTTTTGTGCTTCGCTGACGTCTTCATCCAAAGTGACGAGGACCGAACTCAAAAACCAAGTGACATCGTGTACCTTGCCCCCAGCAAGTTTGGCAGCACTGTAGATGATATCCTCAGCCTTGACTCTCCATTCGGCGGTAATAGGATCTTCGCAGCCATTGGTTTCTCCCCGTCGCCATGGTTGATGGGGAATGGGACCGGAGGGCATGTCGGACGCTCGTTCGACTTCACGAAGCTCTGGAAGGTCATCTTCATCTACTACGTCTGCCTCTCCGTCGTCTAGATCAAGGGTGGGACCATCTTCGTCTACGACTCGAGATGGCTGTCGCTTTTGAGTAGAAGAAAATAGACGTGTCGATTTTGCAATGGCGTGGGATGGATTTCTTGTGGCACTATCAATGTGGACAGTGGTCCAGCCAGCCCTTGGGACAAATCCTTCAGTTGTGGACACCCAATTAGTGATAAGAGCGCACAAGAAAACACTCATTCTAGTAGAAGTCGTAGACCACATCATTGGCTCCCAGAATTACTGTCTCACACTATGATACTATAATCTCAAGTCTTCAAGGAAGAAGGAGTTTGGTGTCGGAAGATCGAATTGTTGGTGCTTCCTGAAAGTGTGGTTGGCAGTGATGGATAAGTCACGGATACCAGTCACACCGTTGAAGTCATGAGTCGAGTCGCGTGAGTGAAAGATTCGAATCTGAATCGAATCAATCGAATGATTGAATGAATCAAATCAAATCGAATCGAATCATTCGATTCAAAGATTGATTCGATTCGATTCGATTCGATTCGATTCATCCCCTCCCTCGCTCGAGTTCTCTGTGATGGTGAGAGCCTGAGCTGAGAGCACTTTGCTTCTATTATTAGATGGGTTGGGGGCCAGTCTGATGGGATGTTGGCTTGCCTGAAATCAGTCAAAAATAACTACAAGACTTTGCAGCGAAACTACGTACAACTGGATAAACCGGAAATTGGATACTGATCAACTTGAAACATTATATACAGTCCCCCCAGAAGTGGCTTCGTGGGCAAAATCTCCGAACGATCAACAAACTGTCACAGCCTGCACTTCTATTAAAAGATTTCCTGTATCGTGATACCGAATTGACTATCCGGTACAAAAACAGGAGTGTAGACCAATAGATAGTATTCTGTACCTGCCTCGGCAAACCAATTGATCTCGCTGCCATTTCCGCAATCTTCGTCATTGGCCGTGACACACATCAAGACATCGCATGATAAGCCCGAGTAGACTGCCAAACGCGCTTGAAAGTTGCTCAAGGCGTGACAGGTGGAAGCAGCAACTATAGTGCCAGTGCCAGTCACCTTGTACCAAAACTCTCCCGTTCGAGTTTGCAAATCCGGGTTGCAAGGATCCACACCAAAGGTGCCACCAAGCAAGTCACCCACAACAATCACCGGCAGCTGGTTGCTGGGAGAAGGGACCAGAGGGCCGATCGCCCCCTGGCAGGATCCCTCAGGAGAAGTAGACACCGTCAACGAAAAGTCTCCCTCTGTTGGACTTACAAACTGAGGGGCAGCCGTCATACCACTCACGTAGACAAAGTAAAGAGTGTTTTCTTGGGCAATGAACGTCACTGAACTTTGCTGCCCGCAAAAGTTATCATTGGATGTCACACATTCCAGACCTTCTCTGCAGCCCACAGTCTGATTCACCGGAGTAAATACAACCAGTTGCGTATCAAAGGAAGGATAGAACTGCGTACAGGTACTAATCGTGACAACATCTCCGTCACCAATCATTGCAAACCAGACGCCATCCGCAGCTAGTTCTCCAATTATGCCGCAGCTCATAAGGCCGTACTGCGTTGGATCAAAGGACGTCCCTACTGTACTCAGTTGCTGAGTTATGCCGTTCGGCGTCAAAGGGGTTATGCTGTCAAGAGGTGGGCATTGCTCAAGTGAATTAGAGCCCTCGGTGGTTGGAAACATCGTTGATGGAAACATTGTCGCATTGCCAGTTCCATTCCCAGTCGGAAACAATGTTTGGTTGCCTGGGGGGGATGTACTGAATGTAGGGCTTGAGGTCGATGATGGAGTCGGGGCTGGCGCGGGAGATGGAATTGACTGAGTCGTAGTGCCGTTTCGCAACAACACTACCACGACAAGTATGACAGCGGCGAGCACAATAGCCAAGCACAACAGCACGCCAATCACCCAGCGCATCATTTGATCTTTCTCTCGTCGTTCTCGGGCAGCAGCTTTTCCATCGACGACCGTTGTCTGGTGGAAAATAGGCTGTTGCACGGCTGCAGTGGGAGGCTGCACAACATGGATTTGTGGTTGTTGAGGCGACGGCTTCTTCGGACGGGTCCGCTTCTGTGATTCTGAAGCGGAGGAGCCTGAGAACTGCGAGGACGTTGAGTTTGCTGGCATTCGGGGTGACGGCTTTGCAGCTTGTTGTTCGGGGGGAAGTGGTGACGATGGTGGTGACTGTGGCGGCGGAGGAGGAGTGGGAGGAGGAGGATGGACAGGTTTTTGTGGCCCTGGAGGTTGCAGGATCTCTGACTGCGTACCCTGGGCTGCTCTGGCTGGATTCGGCGTTTGGGGTGCTTGCTCAGCAGGAGGCGACGCCAAGTCGGCACTGGGTTCTACAGGTGTTGGATCCTGAGCCTGGGCCATCTTCCTCGAACTGCTCTGCCCCTGATTCACGTATACTACTCGTTTTGGCGGGCCGCCTCGTTCTGGTTCGTAGTTTGTCGGCAACTCTGCGGTGGAAATGGATCCCGCGTCATAAAATGGTTCAGGATACTTAACGGGGTAAAATATGCCTGATTCGTCGGATGGATTTGCAGCAGACGCTTTCTTTTGAGCCCTTCTCCTTCGCCTAGCAGTCGCTGGTGGATCAATGAAGTCCGGAGGGTCAACGACGCCGCGTTCCGTTGTTTTTGCATTGGGGTTTTGAGTGTTCGGATCAGGTGCGCTGGGATCTCTAGAAGTCGGATCTCGTCCAGGTACAGCCGGACGAGCAAGGATGCGAGATTTCAGGTCATCCCCCAAGGAAGGCACCTGGACTGGGGGGTCTCCGTTGACGTCTGCAGGAGGTTGAATGGGAGGGTCCCCTCCCGTTTTTATTTCCCTTGGCACAGGCGCTTCTCTGTTATCTTCAGGTGCCTTCTTCGGCGCGACTTGTGGTTTCGGATTTCTTGTTGGATTCAATTTCCCCCTCGATTGCTGGTTTCGTTCGTTCCGAATTGCCTCCTTGAAACTGAACTTTGGCTCAACCGGAGGCTGGTCTTCCGCCTTCTTCTCCTCTTCTGCTGCCTTCTTCAGCTTCTGAGAAAGAAGGGCGCGCTGATACTTGAGTTCTTCTAGTTGATTCTTATACCTGTCCTCGTCGTCACCTAAAACAGAATAATTTGTCGATTTGGGTTGACCAGCAACAGCTCCAGGGATATCACCTGCACGCCTTCGACGCAATGGTCGCAAGGTTCCACTCTGTACCGCTTGGCCTTTAGTGCCCGCCAGTGATGGGTCTGCTGTCCCTGGAGGTTGCGTGTGTGCGGCGTCAAAGCTGTGACGGTTTGGGAGGGGATCGGTAGCTCTGTCGAAATGGACATCCTCCACATAGTACCTACCGTCTCTTGAGAAACCTCCAAGGGGTCGGGACTCCTCAAATTTTTCCCTGGGAGCTCTTGACTGGCCTAGCCCGGGATCGTCAACATTCATGGAACGATAATCCCTGGGGTTCTGGGATCTGAACTCTCGAGGTGCTTCGTATCGAGACGGACTTTCCCGTGCATTGTCACCGTGCGGTCTGAAATCCCTCGCTTGTCTATGTTGAGAATTGTAAGGATCACCACGCCTTGGTCTTTGCAAACTAGGATCTTCAGGCCTGGACATATACTGCGCATCGATCGTCCGCCTGGTTTGAGGTGCTTCCCTGACAGGCTTTCCATCGTCCAATGATGGCTGTCTCTCCTGTCCTTGACGAGCGGCACTGGCTTCATCCAGGTGCTCTTGCAACCGCGCACGAATTCTGGATTGACGCTCATCAAATGGAGTGGCCGATTGTGGCCGAAGATCGCTTGGGGCCGCTGCGCGATGGAATCCACCACTAGGGTTTCGACGCAGTGCTGACTCTTTCGCTGCTTTCAGTTTCCTCTCTGCCAAGGCCAACCTGTTGAGGATCTTTTCCACCTCTTCGTCCCTTTCTGTCCGTTCTATGGACCGTCCGCCTGGTGAAGGCATTGCAAATGCAATCTCACTGGCTTTTGTCGATGCGCGTGCGTCCTCTAACGTAGTTTCAGCTCTGGCAAGCCTATGGAGTAGCTTGTCGATCGAGCCATGGTCATCGGCTGGCGGTTCAGCAACGCCAAGATCCCTTTCAACTTGACCTAGTCTCTGACGTAGGCCGTCGACGTTTTCTCGATCATTCGCAAGCTGCTCGGCAATCTTCAGCTCTGATTCGACGGCCTCCATTTTGGAACGGAGAGCTTCCAATGCCTCGAATTCTTTTTTGGCTTCCTCAACTGCTTTCAGGTCACTATCAACGTTGCCTATCTTGTGTCGGAGCTCTTCAAGAGCTTCCCAATCCTTTGCAGCCCTCTCCCCTTCGGTCAAAAGCTTTTCAACCTTCTCCATTCTGGCCCTGAGATGCTCCAGCGCAAAGTGTTCCTTTGTTGATTCTTCCGCTTCATCCAAATCCTTCTCTATTGCTTTCATCTTTTCGCGAAGTCGCTTCATGGTGCTGCTTCCACCAGGAGTCTGAGCCGCTTCTTTCAAGTCTCTTTCGACTGCTTCAATCCTCCCTCGAAGACTTGCAATCTTGTCGCCCTCCTGCGACGACAGTTTACCACCCGCTGCAGCGCCTGGTCGACTCGAAGTTCTTGCGGGAGGAGGCTTTCTGGTGGTTTGGCCTGCATCTCCTTGAGTTACTTGCAGGGCAAGCTGGGTAGCATGAAGTGCCACGTTAGTTTTGTTTAGGGTCCGAAAACCATTATCAACAAACACACAAGCAGGGGCTCTTACCTTGAGCCGGCGAAGCTCATCTTTTGCCGCGTCTCTTTCCCGTTCCACATCGCTCAGTCTTCTCGAGATGGTCTTGAGCTTCGGGTCTGCGCGGGGTGGTCTAACACTGCTTCGATCGCTAAAAAGAGGGAGAACAACCAGCTGGTGAGTTTCATGTTTGTCTGCAGGCAACGGAGTCCACGTCATGCCACAAAGATACACATACTCCTGGGACAACTGCCGCTTCAAGTTCCCCATCTTTGCTTCATATTCTTCCTTGGCTCGGTTGAGTTCCTCGAGCTGCTTTTCCACGCCTCCGAGTTCTGCCGAGAGTTCATTCTGCAGATCCACCTGCTTGGCTTCCCGATGCTCTCTTGACATTTTGAGTGTCCCTAGGGCTTCTTCCATCTCTGATGCATGTTTCTGCTCCAGTTGCATCTTCTCTCTTTGAAAGTGATCTTCCAGATGATGCATTCTTTTGGCATATTCCTCCAGTATGTTTGGATCACTGGGCAGCGTCAGACTCTCACCCATAGCTTCGTCGGCTCCAAGCGTTCCAGTGAGCTCCTGAAGTTGTTGTGCCATGTTACCAATATCTTCTAGCAGAGACATCTGCAGCTCTTGCTGCTTTGCTTCCCGCTCCCCTGAACTCAAGCTGAAGTATCCCATTGCCTCTTCGAGTTCTCGACTGTGTTTCTCTTCCAAGCCCAGTCGTTCGTTTTGGAAGCGATCCTCTAGTCGAGTCATCAAATGATCAAACTGCTCCCGAAATTGAGTGGGCTTTTCCCGTGGAGGGGGAAGCGGACCATATCCTTCAGATTTACCTTCTTTCATTGCTTCAGCTGTTTTGAACGATATTTTCTTGCTAGGCTCACGGAAAGAAGAACCTTCTTGGCTCAAGTCCGGGAGCTCGGAATCTACAAAAGCAGCAGGATCATCCGCTTGAAAGGTCAATTCCATGCCAGCAGGTGATATTTCCATAGTTGTCGCAGGGGCATCTGGGGCTACAATCCTTTCATCACGGACTCCACCAGGATCACCACCGGCGTTCGCATTGTTGCCAATCATATCGCACTGCTCAATCTCGAGCGGTGTTTGCCGCTGTTCGTTGATTGTTGATAACTTGCTCGCACCTTTCTTGCAGACTGATCCTTTCACCTTTCACCTCTTTGGCAGCCCAACAAATGCTGGTTCTCTGCAATGGTGATGATGAAACCGTTGCTGTTTTGGCTGCAACTCTGTTTCTTCCGAGTTGTCCCAATAGCACGAGTGATGCATGAGTGTGGTATGCATATCCGTGCGATGAAAGCAACACATCAAGCAACGTTCAGGTGTGTCTTGTTGGCGGCAGCGCTACATTTTTTCTTGTCCCATTGAAAAATCCGGTGCCTAAATCTTTTTGTCGCGTGACAAGTGGATTTAAGAGCAATTTGGCTAGACAGCAATTTCTGTCTGGTAAACTACGGTTTGGATTGGTAACAAGGGTATCATAGTATCCATAACCTTGTCTGGAGATACAAACCTAGCACACCACTGCTGGTAGCTACAGTAGCTAGACTACCGATACTACCGTATACCGTAGTACCGGTATCTACCGGTAGCTAGACCTGGCTCTAGCTATTGGACCTGCTCTACTAGCTAGTACCGGTACAGGACTACAGCTCACTACCCGTAGATAGATAGATAGATTGCCGATGCATGGATTCGTAAGGCCAGGAAGCCGGGGATGGTACCGGTATGACCACCGTGTGTATTCTTGTATGATCAAAAAGTTGGTTGTTGTGGTTTCACGTGGCTACGAGGCCTGCTGGTTGTATTCTAATTAATACATGGGGAGCATCATTTCTATCACAGGCTTAGAAACGTTGAAACCTAAATGTTAATAAAGCTACGACTTATTAGTTAGACTCAAAGGGACCGGAGAAACAGCATGCAAGAGCATTCGGCACCAAACAACTTTTTAAAGCCAGAGAAGACGCCAAGAGCGTCCCAAAGGACTGATGTCTAATCTCATTTGGTGTTTAGAAGCGCTGCTGGCTTTTAAAATATGGGATCAAATGTGCGGCGACAGCGATCTTTGTCGATGGTTCTCTTGCAATCGTTGGCTTTCGTCCATGCTCTTGACTCTTGACTCTTGACGGACTGTTCGATCGAGGCGGCACTGACTGAAAGTAATATCTCACTAGCTAGAAACTTATTGTTTGCAACCCGATCAGCAAAAGCAACCAAGAAGAAAAGAAAGAAGAAAGGAAGATGTCTACTCTATCTGTAAGAGCTATCCAAGCTGCCAGTGGAACGATTATTTGTATTTGGCTGTATCCTCGCTCTCACCACCACTTTTCTGTTTTTCATTTGTTAATTTGTTTGTGTGCAGGCAATTCAAAAAGCCGCCAAGAAGCAGGCTGATTCCATCACGGATGGTGCCGTCAAGACTGTGGAATCGATGGATGCTTCGTATCAGTCCTTGTTCCCGTTCAAGACTCTCTCGGAAGCGACTGCCTCGTTCAGTGCTGGAGATGTGGCCAAGCCCAATGAAGCTTTGGCCAAGGCCGTGTCTGCCGCCCAAGAAGCGGTTGACTCGACGGTGACGGCATGTTTGACCATGGAACGCTACATTTTGCTGACAATCCCCCAGATGGAAGACGGCGGAAACTTTGGAGTGACGGTGCAATTGGCCGGTCTGAAAATGGTCAAGGACGATCGTGAAAAGTTGGAAAAAATGTTGGAAGACTTGTCCAAGTATGCTTCTAGCCGAGCCGATGCTCTGGAAAAGCTCAAGTTGCCATCGAGCAGCAAGAGCAAGACCACCACGTCGACTACAGCCAACAATGAAACCAAGGGAGGGGAAAAGCCGGGAGCTACCAGTAGCACTGGGTCCAACACGGAAGAAAAGACTGTCGAAACAGAAAATCAATTGGCTGATGCACCCTTCCGCCAGCAAGCCGTTTGGCAGGTAGATGCCCTCTATTACAGCAAGGCTCGCAATGCATTCATGTCTGCGATGACTTGCTTCATGACTGCCGCCGATTTCCTCGACAAGAACAAGGGAAAAATTGCAGCTCCCAAGGGATCGTCGGGAGGACGAGGATTCTCCAGCATGTATTAGATTTAGATTGGATTGGATTGGATTGGAAAAAGACAACAACAAATATGAAAAGAAGACAAGAACATACAAAATGCAATCTGCAATCAGCAAACACTTACATGTAGCGACAATCAGCAGGCAAAGTGGAGCAAACGTAGCCTAACTTACTAGACAAAGGCGTTACAAAATATCGAAGGGCATTGGTGGCGGGGTTGCACATAGAGGAAGAACTTTCTCGCCTATTGTATTGTAGCCTCGTCTCCGTTTAGGTGTTGGATTCATTTTCTAGGACACTGAAGTCCGCCTTTTGATCTCGGTATTTGAGGATCGGCTCAACGACCTGTCAATGGTGGGGATCTCTTAGCAAGTGTTGCCATAGGTGGACAGTATGGCGCTAGTGTCGGTACGATGGATCAGAAGGTGACCATGCAAGTCAACTGACAATACTCTGTTCTTAATTTTGAATTCTACTTTAGAGCTAGGTTTCACTACTTGTAAATATGAACAATCCGGTGTTTCATGTACGGTATAGTCGCCGAGAAGCTACAATCTGCAATAGACATGTAAGGAAGGTAGACGACCAAGAAACCTTGATTGAATCGAATTGAATCGTTATTCCATTGCGCACAAAGCGAGTCCCTGCTTGTGTTAGCCACAGCGACAAAGAGCCCCCTTGTTTCATTATCATTAATCCGTGGATGCTCCAAACATCCAGAGAATTCCCACCAACATCAGAATGGCGTACAAGCACAAAATGCGACGCTGTTGTTGCAGATCGTACTGTTGGTTTACATGTTGCAAATGCTTCAATCCATTTTCGGCATGGTCCTTGGCTTCCATGGAATTGGTCTGCAGACTCTCAATCTGGTCGCCCTGATCGTCCACCAGAGCCGAGAGGTCTGCAGTGGTAAACAAATAAGGAGGGTCAACACTTATTTTGTAAGGTGATCGATTCTACTAAACTCACATACATTAAAACAAACTGGAGCAGCTTGAGTGGCTTGTCAGCCGTCCGGACGCTTGCTCGCCTACCTTGGGAAATCTGAAAAATCTGCTGCATGGATTGATTCAGGTGCGTGAAGGCTCCATGGCGTTCCGTCATAATGGCAGCTTCGATATCCACCGGTTCCAAGGTCACCTCGTGGAGTACAAGCCGGGTTTCCCCATCAAAGACGATTTCTTCTTCTTCATCTTCTTCCTCGTAGTACGACACAGATCCATCCGACATGGAATCTTCATCGTCAGACAGGTCCTTGCACGAAAACATCCCCACAAATCTCGAAGATGCCGAGGATGAAAGAAGAGAACCCGACGACCATCTCGTCGTCTTGGCAGGTCCAAGCAAGGGCTTGGAGAGAGCGGCTTCATCGAATGCAGAGGACATCTTGTCGCGTTGTCGGGTGTTGGTTCTTGGCTGAAGATTGGGTCAATTGTGAGGGCCGAACGAGAAAAGCCAGAGCCAGAGAGCGAAGAATGGAGAGCGAAAGGATCCAATCCTCGAGCTTTTCAAACCTCAAACACGTAAGAAGTATGTACAAAGTCACTCTCTTAAATGGAGTGTACTTTCTGCAATAAGTAAAAGTGTGGAAGATGCCTAAAGCAAAGACAACTTCAACCGCGGGAGTTGATTGGTTGGCAACTGAGAACGGAGGCAAATCCACTCTTCACGTTGCCGAACTGGTTGCAACAAGACCGATGAAGGACCTCTCTCTCGGCTGCACGGTGGTGGCGTTCAATCAAAAGATCTAAGCCCAAATCAGCCCCAGACAGGGCCATCAATAAACCAATCCTTAAGCTTCATGGACAGTCCAAGCACAAGCTAGCTAGAGCTAGCTAGCTACATGTACGATGCAAATGTACAAACCTCGCTGTCGAGGATTGGATTTTTTGGAAGAATTCGCACTGAGCGATGTTTTAGTTTTGGTGATCTAGGTAAGGGGAACAAGCCGATGATGGTGAGCCCATGTTTATCGTACCAAGAGACTGGTGTTGGATTTCCCTGGGAACCCAAATAGCAACATGTAGCTACAATGAAGGTTTGACGAGCATTAATTAGTAGCATGTAACAATTGCTTACCAAGCAATTTCTACTTTTTCACGGGAAGCCGAATTGAATCGAGGAGCTTCCCCTCTGAATCTGTCACTACAAGAACAACAACACTAATAGCAACAAACACAACCAATCGGTCATACCTATACCATTACACTACCTATTAGCACCATTAGAAGCATTGACACGAAGCGAAAGGACCTCAGGAAGCCTGTTTTCTGTTATCTTGTTGAAGAGTCCTGTTTTACTATAGGAATCCGCTCAACGTCATCACAGGAAACACACTCCCTTTCCCTCTCTTTATCCCTCATTCAAGCCCCTCCAGTCGACAGGATCGATACCTCCTATCTCCTGCGCACCTCTCCTATCAAGTGACTATCAATCCGGCCTTCTCCGGTTCAGATCAGAAAGCCATCCCAATAGAAATCCTACGAGATCGGGCGGGTTTTCTCTTCTCGGCCGTCGCCGACCAAGTTGAACGAAATTGAAGGAACAAAAGAAGTCTCCGGTCTTCCGCAGTACCAGAATAGAAGAGAAACACATACTCATTTGTTACTTTCTGTTCTCTCACTGCCGACGGCCGAAGAAATCCCATTGTTGATCATCCCTTTTTCGATCGAACGGCGGATCTTCTTCCTCAAGAACAACAGGCTCGGTTAACCTTACCCCTAAGGCAACTGACTCATTCGAATCTTCAATCGTGAATCGAATCGCATTAAGGAATCGATTCGAATCAAGACTCGCTTCTCCGTGAATCGATCAATCTCCCCGCGACCGTACCTCCGTACCTCTTCCTCCGTACGGATCGAACGACAGCCTCTACTATCATCAAGCAGGACTTCACGGGATACCTGCAGTGACCGCCGAGAACAGAAACACAGCTGTATTTCTTACTTTCTCACTGGCCACTCTTGGCTTCTCTCGACGTCCTTGTTGGAACTGATCCTACTGATCCAACCAGTCCTATCCCTATACAGACTGACTGACTAATCCACACCTGCTACTGTTACCACTCCTACATTGATATCTAACTCCTCTCCCAGAGGAACAACAAACAACAACAGAGTTCCTGTAAGGATTTAAGCTTTTGTACCTCCAGGCTTGGCTGCATCGTTTCGACAGCCCCTCCCTGAGATACCCAGCTCCTCTCCAATGGATCTCACCCCCACAAGAACAAACTACAAAAGCTGCCCCTCTAGTGTGTATTCTTCTAGATTGTGCAACACTTCATTGACACAGCCACCTCTCTGCTACTGCACCTGACTCTCCTACTGAGTGTGGAGCTCCAAAGGATTGAGCCCCAGACAGAACTGCAGCGTGGTGTGGCTTAGACATTAATACATAACTGACTCTTTCTCTCTCTCATTGATTGTTGAGTGACTCTCCAGTGACTTTCCCCCATTCCACCTGAATCGAGTACCCTCCACATCTTGGCTTGACTCTCTGTTGCATGTCTGACCCTACAACAGATTGAGTACCAGCCTTTGAGACAACACAGTGTCATCCAGTAATACAGCCCCATCAACCAACAACACCCCTTGATCCCCCCACCACTGCCTCTACTGGCTATAGCGTGACTTCTCCAGTTCTCCCTGAAAGAATCCCTAACAGCCTTTGGCTCTGATACCATCTTCTCCTGCAGGTAGTGGTATACTGCACAAGACTTGGCCACAGCCTTGATCCAGTGGCAACAACACCCACAACTTGATAAAACTTGAACCATGCCTCAGTGCATTGCCCTTGAATAAACCCCTCTACATCACTCATCTCGCCACCCCAAAAGCACCTCCATTGCTTGAGTTGAAGCAACGACACTCACATGTCAAACTCCAGGATACACAACACCCACCAACCACCTACCACCCACCATGACTTCCCCATGTCTACCCACAACTCCACTCAAACCCAAGGTCTCCCCAGACTCCCCTCCCCACTTCCCCAACCAACCACATCCACCATCCTCCGCAGCACTACAACACACCACCACTCCCAGATGATCAGCCACAGCTCCTAGAGCATGCGCCATCTTGAGGATCACACCTTCCGAATCACACCCTACCCTATCAGGGGGGATGCCTTTGTTCTCACCCTTGAACAAGGCACGCCTCTATCCTACAACACACCACAACCATGCTACATCCCAACTCTACAACAACACTCCAACACCAACAGGATCTCCCTCCTGCCCCTGGCACCAGCCCATCTCCCAGTGCCCCTTATCCTCCTTCTAATGACTCAACAACCCCTCGAACAGCCCACAACACTCCAGCACCACTGTGCTCCCTCTTGGGAACCACAGACTGCCATGTGTCATTTGACCCCATCTTTTGCCTGCTTGTTGGTCTCTATCTAACAATTTTTGGCATTGGATGGGTTACACCCTGCTCTGGTCCAGCTGAGGAGTACCACCTCCTACGGGCTCTGCTGGCATCTTTCCTTGCATGCCAAGGCATTGCCACAGCTTGGGACCTGATCACCGACACACTTACTGGCGAGCACTCTTTGGTCTGGCAATCTAACTGGTCCTCAGGTTCCCTTGGTGATAATAGTGTTCAATACCGACAAAATCCTGTGTAAGCCCCTGTAACCCAGTTTTGCGCTGCAGGTTCCCTATCAATGTGCTCACCCCTACCCAGGGATCTGTCTACTGGGCTGGCTCCACGTTGGGCCAGTGGTACTTTTTCACGGAAGCCGAATCGAATCGAGGAGCTTCCCCTCTGAATCTGTCACTACAAGAAACAACACTATAGCAACAAACAAACCAATCGGTCATACCTATACCATTACACTACTATTAGCACCATTAGAAACATTGAAACGAAGCGAAAGGACCCCAGGAAGCCTGTTTTCTGTTATCTTGTGAAGAGTACTGTTTTACTATAGGAATCGCTCAACGTCATCACAGGAAACCACTCCCTTTCCTCTCTTATCCTCATTCAAGCCCTCCAGTCGACAGGATCGAACCTCCTATCTCCTCGCGCACCTCCCTATCAAGCGACAATCAAAGCGGCCTTCCCCGGTTCAGATTAGAAAGCCACCCAATTGAAATCCTACGAGATCGGGCGGGTTTTCTATTCTCGACCGCCGACGGCCAAGTTGAAGAATTTGAACACAAAAGAAGTCTCGGTCTTCCCAGCACAGACAGAAAACAACCATACTATTTGTTTTTTCTACTGCTCCGACGGCCAAAAATCCCATTGTCGATCCTCTTTTTCGACATCGAACGATCTTTCCCAGAACAACAGGTTCGTTAACCTTACCCCTAAGGCAACGAATCACCGAAATCGGAATCGAATCGATTAAGATCGAATCGAGAATCAAGACTCGCTCCTCCGTGAATCGATCATCCCCCAGTCTCCGCGACGCCTCTCCTCCGTACGTATCCTCCGTACGCACCTCCTTCATCAAGAAGGACTTCAGAGATACCTGCAGTGACCCGAGAAAGAAACACCTTATTCTTACTTTCTCACGCCACTAGTGGTTCTCCCGACGTCCTTGTTGGAACTGATACCTCCTGCTACTGTTAACCACTCCTACATTGATATCTAACTCCTCCCAAGAGGAAAACAAACAACAACAAGTTCCTGTAAGGATTAGTTCTTGTATCCAGGCTTGCTGCATTTATAGTTTCACAGCCCCTCCCTGGATATCCAGCTCCTCTCCAAAGGACCTCACCCCCACAAGAAACAAACTACAAAAGTTGCCCCTCTAGTTTGGCTAGATTGTGCAACACATTCATTGAACAGCCACCTCTCTGCTACTGCACCTGACTCTCCTACTGAGTGTGGACTCCAAAGGATTGAGCCCCAGACAGAACTGCAGCGTGGTGTGGCTAGAATTAATACATAACTGACTCTTTCCCTCTCTCATTGATTGTTGAGTGACTCTCCAGTGACTTTCCATTCCACCTGAATCGAGTACCCCAATCTTGCTTGACTCTCTTTGCATTGTGCATCTCACTACAACAGATTGAGTACCAGCCTTTGAGACAACAAGTGTCATACCAGTAACACAGCCCATCAACCAACAACACCCTATCCCCCCACACGCCTCTACTGGCTATAGCGTGACTTCTCCATTTCCTGAAAGAATCCCTACAGCCTTTGGCTCTGAACATCTCTCCTGCAGGTAGGGTATACCTGCACAGACTTGGCCACAGCCTTTGATCCAGTGGCAACACAACCCAACAACTTGATATAAACCTTGATTACCAGTGCCTCAGTGCATTGCCCCCTTGGTGAATAAGACCCTCTACTTGCACTACCAAGAAGCCTAGTTTCAAAGTTTCGAGTGTTTGATCTGAGAGAAGCAAATTATGAGCAACGTAGAGAATCAAAGTGAAAATAGGTCAACTAGAGAGATCTACATACAAGGGATCTAGATCTGTTTCTCCGCGGGGAGAGACTATCAGTGTGATAGGTTAGGTTGTCGGTAGTAAACCACTCTCTCCACGATCCTGAAACTGAACGCGTGAAGGTTTGTCTAGCATGATCTAGTAG